TCTCAAACCACTGTTATCATCACTGGTTCACACATTAGGAAACTGAAGCAAGGAGAGATTTAAGTAAATTTCCCAAGGTCACAGAAATAACAAATAGTGGAGCCAGAATTTGAACTTTAGAGCTCTTGTTTACAGCAGTGTGGTAAGGAATGAGCAGAACTCAATGCATGTGGTAAATAATTATTAACTGCAGTCCTTGGGACCCATACCATCTCTTCTCTGTAGTCAGCAGGGGGAGCCAGAACCCCTGACCGAAAGTGGAACTGCGTTTGCTAAAGAGACATGCCCAGTTATTCACACCTGGTTTGGGGTATTTGAATGAGTCAGATAGAGTTGCTCCATGCGTGGGGATCCCCAGTTAGTGAAAGATAAATCGCCTGAAAATTATTTACCCCAGAGGAAGCCTCAAAACGAAAAAACCAACTGTCTTGGATCATGCAGCTATTAAGTGGCAGATCTGGGACTCAAGACACCAAAGTCTATGCCCTGGAGCATAAAGGAAGACACATATTCAAATGTTTCCTGCTGTATCTGTACCCAGCACAGGGCCCCACACACCTTCCTCTTCAGTGTGGGTTTGATGAATGTGTGAATGAGGAGAAGCTAAAGCCAACTGAAGAAGATTAGCCAGGGAAGAAGGGAGGTTAGTCAAGGAAGACTTTTCAGATGAACTCCTATTGGGGTGTCTTGAAGGATAAATTAGGAGCTTGCCAAGTGAAAAGGAGGAGAAAGGCATTCCAGGCACATGCAAAGGAATAAGAGGGTGGAATAAAAAGTCTCTCACTTGTTTTAAAAACATCAGAACCCACAACACACACACACACACACACACACACACACACACACACACACACACAATTAAAACTTTATTATATACAATATCCTCTTGCTTTCTGGTCCATTTTCATTTTTTAAATGTTAATGGTAATCCACTGATTTTCTGTGATGTGGGCATAGAGGTGGAGGCGTTGAGAAAACTGGAGATTGGAAGGGAGTTTGGAGCCAGACTGTGAAGACCTTTGGAAATCAGCATGATCATCTGGACCCTTTTTAGTCCTTGCCTCATGCAAGGTTAGACCCTAAAAACCCTTGCTCTTTTTCTAGCAATTTGAGTAACTGCCTTCTTCTCTGGATAATCTTCTTCAGTTGGCTTTAGCTTCTCCTCTTCCCCAGCTGGTTCTTTAACTCATGCTGAGTTCCTGGGGCTCTGTGCTGGGCTCTCCACACTGGGTCTCCTTGGCCTCCCACAGCACCTATTCTCATCTTGGTTTGAAGGATGGCTGCTTATCACTGTGGAGTTCTGCCACTTTTGAAGGCCCTCCCTTTTGAGTGCCAGGCACACACAATCAGCTGCCCTCCCAGTAACTTACAGATATCTCAAACTCCCAACCCAGTCCATCACCCTCTGACTGGCTCCTCTCCCATCCCAGCTCCATGTTGCCCTCAATAGTCCAACACACTGTCTCACAGAATAGGATCTTGTCCTTGGAGTTTCCTTATCATGTCCATTTTTCTCTCAATTCCCTCTGCTTCTCTCCATGCCATCTGCCACTACTCTTGTCCAGGCTGGGCCCTTTCTCTCCAGATAACTGTTTTACCACCTGCCCTTGTCTCCTGCCCCTTTCTATTGATGCCCCATAAGAACTGCCATGAGCCTCTGAAAAAGAAATCAGATCATGTGACATCCCTGCTTTAAACTTATTGATATTTCCTAAATGTATTCCCAGTCCTCCTCTGGGCCCTTTCTCTGAAACCTTTCCCACTTCACTGTCTCTAATGCTCTGTTCTCTAGATCCATGGGCCCTGCTTCCTCTGGCTTCATAACCTCTACCTAGTTAACACCAACTCATTCCTTCTGGATCCCAGTGTAGGAATATCTCCAGGAAGCCTACCCTGATTCACTCAAGCTGGATTTAGTGACCCTGCCTCAGTGTTTCCACAATCCACTGTGCATCCCCCAGCTTCATGCTTAACATCTCCTTTTTAATTGCAGTGGCCCAAGTCTGTCTTTTCCATCAGATGGGCAGCAGAATTGAGGGGTTAAGGGCAGATGTCAAAGCCAAACAACCTAGGTTAAAATCCCAGCCCTATCATGTATAGGCAATGGGAGTTTGGAACTTTATTTAATCTTTCTGTGATTTGCTTACCCTCTACTGTAAAGTGATGGTAACTATGATTTTAATAATGATATTAACAAGAACAGCTGTTAGAAGGTTAAATAATGTCTGGCACATAGCAAGTGCTGTGTCTTTGGTGATTTAAATCAGCATTCAGACTAGTTACTCCAGGAGAGCAGACCCTGGATTTATTGGACCCACCACTATGTCCCCAGCTCCTGCCCCAACATCCTGGAAATGAGTGTGACACAAATGCATCTTTGGTCTCAGAGAATGGTGATGCATACAGATAAGAAAGTAACATTTGAGAAATGCTTTGGAGGAGACTGTTGAGGACTCCTTGTGGGTGAGACAGGAGGAGGAAAAACCTGACAAGACAAACCTGTGACGTATCCTCTCAAATATTCCGCTGTTTCAATTCACACCCCCTACCCAAGCACTCATTGGCACCTCGATCCATGAAGGACTCCAGCTAGGATAAGAGTCATTGTATATATCTCTCTTCTCTTTCCCTACCCCTATTTTTCTCCAATGAGTCCAAGCCCAAAGTCTTCCTTCCTTTCTGCACCCCACTTCTACCCTAGTTGTTCCAATTGATGTGTCACAAGTAACAGTAACACAGTGGTGTCAAACAATCATTTCATTATCTTCACAAAGGCACACTGGGGACAACCACAGAAGCAGTCTACTGAGCCTTAGCTGCGGAGAGTCAAAGGCAGGGGTGACTGAATGGAGGCTCCTTCACCCACTGTCTCGCATCCAACTGGGTGATTCCAATGCTGAACTCATCTGGGACTGTGGCCTGGAACATGTACATGTGGCTTCTAAATATGCCTGGGCTTTTTCACAGTGTGGCCGCCTCGGACCTTCTGTGGTGGGTCGGGGCTCTAACAGGTATTCTAGCTGAGGCAGAGGCTGCACTGCCTCTTATGACATAGCCTTGCAAGTCTTGCAGCATCACTTTGAGCACATCTCGTTGGTCAGAAATCGGTCCAAATTCAAGCAGGAAGAGCACAGAGAACCCATCTCTTAATGGGAGGCATGTCAAATAATTTTGTGGCCATGCTTCAAAACCACCATCTGAATCCCAGACACTAATGTCTTATACCTGAACCTGCTCCCTGGTCTGCCTGGCTCCACTGTGGCCAGTCCTTCCAAACTCCTCAGTGGGTTCTCCACGGCAGCCTACGGGAGCTTTTGAACACACCAGTTACCCTTTTTCCTGTCTCTCCAATATCTTCCTGCTGAACTTCCCACGGAAATGTAGGCTCCCTGACATGGCCACACAGCTGCATGGGATCTGCACACCCATAACCTCCTTTCCACCTCACTGGCCTTCTTTCTCTTTCTTGATTGCTGATCCAGTCACCTTTCCTTCCCAAAATGTCAGGCCCCTAAATTCTGTGTCCTTCAGATCTCAGCAGGAATGCCATCTTGCTGGATCTAAAACCAGTGTGTCTCTCCCATAACTCTGTTTTATTATCTCCACCTGTCCCTGGGGTGTCTGAAATTATGCATTTGTTTACTTTTGGTCTGTCTCCTTCACAAGTTCCAAGAGAGAGAAAGACCCTTGTCTCTCTTGTTCCTCATAGCCTAGGTTCCCCACCATGACGGGCAAAGGCATTTGTGGGTTGTGAATGAATGCATGAATGACAGTTTTCCAAGGCACACGTGCGTGGTTTGAAAAAGCAATTATAGAGGAGAGGCAGGCATGGCCTGGGATGGCTGTGGTGGTGGAGGTAGCCTTGTTTCTAATCGGGTTCTTCCACTCACTAAGCTGGGGTCTTTGGGAAAACACCTTCGCGTCCCTGAGCCCCAATTTCTTCAGCTGAAATGAGTCCAAAAGCCCTTAGCTCACTGGACGGGTGTGTACAGTATATCACATGAAGGATTCAGCACCTCTGGCCAGCCCAGGACACAGTCCCTCAGTGAGGCTCAGCTGTAACACCTGCTATGTGCGCCAGGTGTCGCCCCACAGTGAGTTCTGAGCCCTGCGCTTTTGGGTGGCTCTGCAGCCCAACGTCTGGCTTCAGTGCGGGGCATCAGGGCCTCACCTGACGCTGTCCACTAGCCACTAGGAACGGGGGTCCAGAGGAAGCTGCTCCATCTGGACACCCACTTGCTATCCCCCATCGAAAAGACAGGAGCGGGGGGGGGGGGGGAGGGAGAATATGCTGAGTCAGTTATCCCCGCTCCGCCATTAGCCCTAAGGAAAGGGTGTCCTCTCCCAAGAGGGTCTCCAAAGCCCCGGGGAAGGCGGAATCCGGATGCGACCTAATACCCTACAGCAGCTCCAAGCTCTCGGCCCGGCGAAGAGGACGGGGAGACAGGCCAGAGCCCAACCAAGCCCCGATTCCCCCCTCCGTCCCGAGTGCAATCCTGAGCGCTCACTCGCCCCGCAACTTGTGAGTTAGCGACCTCTGGGGATAGAGCAGACTCCCACCTCTCCCCACCCGGCTCCGCGTTTCAGAGCCGGGAGAGGGCGCCTCGCGAGCGCGCGCCGGGAGCAGGCGGCTGGGTCCGAGGCTCGGGGAGGGCGCTCCGGGAGGGGCAGGCGGGGTGGGGGTGAGAAAAGAGGGAAGGAGGGGCCGGGCGGGCGGCTGCAGGGTCCCGCACTCCCCGCGCCTCGCACATTCGCAGCAGCAGTTCGCGCGCAGTGCGGTGTCGCCCAGCGGTGCGCTCGCTCCTCCCCTCCTCCTCCCGCTCCGTGGATCCCGCGTTCCCAGAGGCTCAGGCGCCGAGTGCGCGGACGGGCACGCGAACAGACGGCCCAGGGGACGCCTCGGCCCTCACCTCCCGGGCGGGCTATGTTGATTGTCCTACCGGGGTCGGCCCGCGGGATCAGCACAGCTCGGCCCGCGGCCCCGGTGACGAGGGGGGACTATGAACCGGAAAGCGCGGCGCTGCCTGGGCCATCTCTTTCTCAGCCTGGGTATGGTCTACCTCCGGATCGGGTAAGGGCCTCTCGCAGCCCCTGCACGCGTGTCCCGGCAAAGTTGGCGTGGCCTGGGGAGAGACTGCGCTGCCTAAGAGCCGCCGTCGCCCCATCAGAGAGGCCGGGTGGGCAGGGTGCAGGAGAGGTGGGTGCACAAAGGCAGGTGCCCCAGTTGTTGTACCTTAGTTCGAGAGGTCCGAGCCGGTACCTTAGTCCGACAGGTCCACCGTCCTGAGGATGTCTGAGTCTGGAAGCCACCAGAACTAGAGATAGCTAGTAGGGACGCTCCAGTTTGGGGGACTAGGGCTAGCCAATTTCAGAGGCCCTTTAGTTCGGGGCATGGGAACAGCAGATCCAGCAGAAACACTGAGCGGTATCTGGGACCACAACCTCTCCCAGGGAACTCATCCCCCAGAGCTCCAGAGGCACGGACACAAACGCTCCTAGAAACAGGGCAGTGCCCGCGGGGCAGGCGGGGCCGTCCAAACAACAGGGAACAGGTACCCAAAGGGAGGGATGTTCTTTGACAAAAAGCACCAACCCTGCTCAGAACCCTGGAACTACACGATTGCCAAGAATCCTTGGACGTTCAGAGCCTTTCCTAGCCCTAAAGGGACAGCGTCTACTAGCCGAGACAAACACACAGAGACAGGACAAGAGCTGGCCCCAAGACGCTGAAGGAGACAAGCTCGCAGAGCCAGCGCCTGAGAAAGGCGGGACACCCTACCCTAAAACTGGGTGCCAGAGTCTGCGCGAGGGCAGAGCTGTCTCTCCCCCGCCCCCCTACCCCCCACATCACTGCATTTTTATGGAGATGGGGCCTGGGGCGGTGCTCTGGTTGGAAGGTTGGAGTGGGGGCTCCAAATGGGTCTTGGAGCTACATTTGTACGGCCAGTCACCCTTTGTACTTAGGAGATAATGCGTATGAAGCACTGAGGGGTGATGAGAGGCCGAGGGAGGGCTTAAGGATTGGTAGAGATGCGGCGCTGATGGTCCACCTTGGCAGCTGGTGGACCTGCTCCCCTACCCCAAGCTGGGAACCTCCCTACTGCTCTGCTTAGGGAGGGGCGAGCTGGCTGCCCAGGGCTGCTGCGAGGACTGGTGTGTGGCAGATCCTTTGTTTTTTTGTCACCACCACTTCTCCCCTTTGCCCACCTCGCGTCTCCGGAGCAAGGATTTCTCAAGTTGACCTGCAGTGGAAGCAAGCAAGTAGCTAAAGAGCAGGCCCGCCAGCCCAACTGCTGGCAGAGAGCAGGCGACCGCGGGCGGAGAGGCGGCTGCGGGACCGGCGCACTGCCGGCCTCCTGTGTGTTTTAAGTATTATTGATTCGCCCGCGGCTGAGTGGCTTCTCCCTCCTTCTCCTCTTCCCACCTGCTTTAATCTTCACTTTGGCTCGCGCACCCGCTGCCACGCGCGCATCTAGCATCCAGGAAGCCGGTATAGCTGATGCTTGCGGCTTTATCTATTTATTTATTTATTTATTTATTTATTTATTTATTTATTTATTTATTTATTTATTTTTATTAGAAATGGGGAGGAGGGGCCCCAAGGGGAGAGAGAAAAGGAAAACAACAGAAAATAATCTCCCCTGGCTGCACCGCGAGCCCGACCTCCCGCTGGCGCCAGCACCTCATTGAACCCGTGGGGGCCCAGCTGCCCCGGGGGAGGGGTCCAGGAAGGGCGCTAGCCGAACTGCGGCCCAGCAGCTCCCCTTTGGGGCCCAAAGAGGTCCAGGTCGGGAGGAATTGCAGGGTAATTTGGGACCAGGCCCTGCTGCTCCGTGAGCCTTGGGTTATTTATCTGTAAAATGAGCATGCGGAGTAAAGTCCCTAAGAGGCCTTCTAGTTCCCCCATATGACTGGTTCCTTCTGATGGCAGGGCATCTGTGGTATTCTTATTTTATCTGGATAGTTCCAATGACTGAAGCACTAGCCCCTGTGACAATCAGATCCAATAATAATAATAATAATAATAATAATAATAATAATTACTTTAACAACTTCTAAACACTCTCCATGTTTTAACATGTTTAATTTTTACAGTAAACCTATGCGGTGGGGGCTAATTATCATTAGCCTCATTTTAGCCATGGAAGTACAGAGAGGAGGTGTAGCTTGCCCAAGATCACACAGCTAGTAAGTGAAGGAAACTTAGTTGGCACCCTAGCTCTGACCACTTAGCTACTAGCCTATTGTTCATATGAATTTTTGACCCTAATATATCATTACATTTCTCTGCTGGTGTAGGAGTTTCCTTGTGCTCAGGTAAGAGTTCAAAAATTCCTCCTGACTTATGGATAGAACATCCACTTAATCTTTCTATGCCACTTCTTTCTCAAACAATTCAAACATCCTAGCTCTGTGTTAGATTCTGTTTTAATGGCTGAGATGAATGTTCTGTAGCTTCTGTTTCAAATCCATTACCTGCTAGCCTCCATGCCTCAATCTCTGTGAACCCATTTTCAGTCAAGTGAAATGGATATGGTGAGTCCTGCCCAACAGGGCTGTTTAAAAAGGTTGCATGAGCTGATGTTAGTGACAGCATTCACCATACAGACTTGACACATACTAGGGATGCTGCAAAAGTTCACTAAGGCAGTCAAGTACATATTTGGGAAGCAGGTGCTCACCTTAAGTGACATTTTTGAAATTCTACAATTCATTTGTGCGGTAACTATTCAGTGAACTGGCAGACAGCCTTCCTGCCCTCAAAGTGCTCACAGTCTAATGAGAAAGGCAAAGAACAAATGAACAGACAAAGGAAAAACAAACATATACATTAAGACATTTCAGAGGCGTGGACCATGAGTAGCAAGAGTATTAAGAAAAACAAAACAGAGATTGTGATGGGAAGTTAGGAGGAGAGAGGTAAGAAGACAGTTTCCCTTACCTGGGTTGGTAAGGGCAGTGACTCGAGGTCACATAAATGATGACAAGAAGCCAAGCATGTGAAGCTCAGGAGGTGAGAAAGCTTCTAGGGAGAGGTACCAGCAAGAACAAAGAGCCTGAGGCAGGAAGAAGCTGATATAAGGCAGAGGGAAAGTGGTCAGTTAGGCACTTAGAAAGGAGTGGGATCAGCTCATCTCTGGTGCTGTTGACACAGAGTAACTGCTCTTTAAGAAATTCCAGTTCCATAATTATTTGAGACATGCAAATCAAAACAACAATGAGATACCATCTCTCACCTGTCAGAATGACTATAATAAACAAATTAACAAACGACAAGTGCTGGCGAGGATATGGAGGAAAAGGAACCCTCTTGCACTGCTGGTGGGAATGCAGACGGGTGCAGCCACTGTGCAAAAACAGTATGTAGTTTCCTCAAAAAGTTGAGAATGGAACTCCCACTTGACTTAGTAATCCCACTTCTAGGTCTATATCCCAAGAAACCAGAAACACCAATCAGAAAGGATATATGCACCCCTATCTTCATCGCAGCACAATTTACAAAGATAAGATTTGGAAACAGCCTAAATGCCCATAATCAGATGAGTGGATTAAAAAACCATGGTATATCTACACAATGAAATACTATGCCACTATAAAAAAAGAAGGAACGTTTACCATTTGCAACAGCATGGATGGAATTGGAGAGCATTATACTAAGCGAAACAAGCCAGTCAGAGAAAAATAAATATCACATGATTTCATCATATGTGGGATATAGTGATCAGCATAAACTGATGAACAAGAATATATCCAGAGACAAATGGTAAGGAAGGGGGAGAGGTTAGAGAACAACCAAAGGACTTGTATGCATGCATATTAACATAACCAATGGACACAGACACTGGGTGGTGGGGGCTTGTCTGGGGTGGGAATGACTTGGGGAGGGTTGTCAATTGGGGAAAAGGAGACACATGTAAAACTATCGACAATAAAAAAAAAAATAGTATGACCTACTCCCCCAAAACAAAAGACAAAAGCAAAACAAAACAAAACAAAAAACCCAAAACAACTTCCTATGCCTGAGCTCCAGGATGGAAAGTATGGAGCACTTAGTCCAGTGATTGGCCATGGCTCTCAATAAGTGGAAGCTCTTATTATTATAACTACAATGAGATATCTGGGGTGAGATCTCTTTCAAACTAGACTTGAGGATTATACAAAAGGAAACTCCACATGAATGGGCCATCTTTATGCAAAGGAAGAACTACCTGCATCATCAGGGTTACCATCTGAGCCTGTTTGGGGTTATCTTGATATTAGGAAATGGTCCCATCCTCAGGCCAGGTATCCACAAGTCACACTGATGCCCGTCTTTCTACCTTCTCCATCTGACCTGTTAGCTCCACCCCATCCATCAGTCCATTAGTCTATCAGTCCATAGCAAGTTTGGTCAGCTCCATCTTCAGCCATCCCCAAAGGCCAAGCCACCACCACCTCTTGCCTGCCCAGTCTCCCTGCTTCTGCCCTGGCATCCTATAGTCCTCTTCCGTGGGGCTGGAGAGATGGGATGCTGTCAGTATAATGCTGACAGCCCTTCAGTGCATTCTAGCCCTGAGTCATCTCTTGCCCCCAGATTGTCCTCCTTCCTAAGCCCTGGTTTGCATCACCTTCTATGGGTTCTTTCTGTTTCTTGGTGACCCCAAGCTTGTCCCCTACCATGACTTGTTTTCAGTTCCTTCTGCCCAGAATACACTTCCCCAGACCTTTCCACTGCTGGACACTCAGGTCTCTGCTTCACTGCCACTTCCTCAGGAAGGCCCTCCTTGACCACCCAAGTTAAAGTGGCTCCATCTCTTCCCTTCCAAACTTACCATTCCTGCCATCATAGCATCTTTACTTAGGCTCCGAAGTGGGCACCAATGTCTGGAATGGCCTATTGTATTTGTTTATGCTATGCACATTGTCTCCCTCTGTAACTCCTCGAGTGCAGGGCCTTGGCACCTGAGAGATTTCTGATATGTGTCTATTCATATCAGAATAGGCATAAGCTTCCTCTAGGCCAGTCATGTCTAGACATACACCATTGGCATTTAGGGAGCAAACTTAGAATTTGTATTCATAATTTATGCTTAAATATTTTTTTAGTAATAAAACATACACATACATACTAGAGAGTATATAAAACATGTTTTTTAAATGAATATCTATGTACCCACCAACCTTTCTTTTGCTTGCCTTTGTCGTTTTTCCACATAAAGATGATTCCTAAACAATATTGGGATTCATTTTGCATAATTTTAAATTTCATCTCAATTCAATCCTACCATAATTAGAAAGGCATCTTGCTTAGTTCCAACATTTATGTTTGACATACATCATCTTATTTTTTGCTATCGAAAAAGGAAATCAAGCCTCACTAATATTGTATATACACCTCGCACAGAAACCAATATGTAACCACAGGTGAATAAACCTGGGTTGGGTGCAGTATCAAAAAAGTTATGAGACTCCTGTTGGGAGCTGTGGGGTGAGGTGTCCAGGACTGGATACCAGGGAGGACCTATAGTACATACCCCACCCTGAGAGCCTAATGCTCCCTCTCTCTGTGTCTCCTGCTCCAGTGGCTTCTCCTCGGTGGTAGCTCTGGGCGCGAGCATCATCTGTAACAAGATCCCAGGCCTGGCTCCCAGACAGCGGGCGATCTGCCAGAGCCGGCCCGACGCCATCATCGTCATAGGAGAAGGCTCACAAATGGGCCTGGACGAGTGTCAGTTTCAGTTCCGCAATGGCCGCTGGAACTGCTCTGCGCTGGGGGAGCGCACCGTCTTCGGGAAGGAGCTCAAAGTGGGTACGTGCTCACCGGACACTGCAAACAGGCTACTGGCAGACAGAATACTTTTGGGAGCCCTCTGGGACCTCCGCACCTGCCCATGCTGGGATGATTCTACTGTGGGTCTTGAATTCAGGTCTCTATCAAGAGTTGGCTCTCAGGTTTGAATCCAGATCACGCTGGCCCTTTATGGCAGAGTTGAATACTAACTGGTTGATACGGCACTTATGTTGTTTTTTAAATTGAAGTCCAAATTTAAAATTAGTTGTTTTGCCTAAAAATACAAATTCCTGAATTCTTTTGAAAAATAGGCTTACACATGTATCCACATAGTTATTATGGGCTAGAGCTGAGAACACAGCTTCCTTTAGGTGGAGCCAGGGCAACCCGATTCACTGCAATAGTTCCCACTACTCCCTATTATCCATCTTATATTCACCCTTATATGATATTAAAGGCCCAGTATATGAAATTCATGCACTGGGGGAAGTAGGGGGTGTGGGAAAGAGTATCCCTCAGCCCAGCCTGTGCCCTCTGGCAGCCTGAGAGCCCTTGGCCCACTCCCCCTGACTGAGCAGTGCTTCCCCTGTGGGAACACACTGACCACCAGGGAGCAGCTCCTGCACTGAGCATCTGCACCTTGGTGGTCAGTGCATGTTCTAGTGACTGGTCGTTCTGCCATTTCAGTCAATTTGCATATTAGCCTTTTATTATATAGGATGCCTGGCCACTGTGGGCATTTCAGTTTGTAACCCCTGTGTTGCTTAGACATAGTGCGCATGCATGCGCACACACACACACACACACACACAGAGAAGCACAAAGTGTCAGGCCACTTGGCATTTCTCACACTTTCAAACCAATGTGAGAAAATCCTGGTGGAAAGGGGTTGGTCACTGGGAGCCCTGGTGAGGGGAAGGCCACGTTGTGTGTCTGCTTATTTGCATCTGAACTGTAGGACCAGGAATTCTGCAGGCTTGCTTTGAGCTGTGGACCTCCCTGAAGATCAGGTCAGCCTTGACTCTTTGTGCTGGAGTGGTTCACCTGGCCTACTCCACTGCTCAAAGGGCATCCCTGAATTACTTCCTCTTGGATCATACAGCTGGTGTATCTGGGCTCTCAGGTCCCCCCTTCCACTTTCCATCAATCTGCTGCCCCTGATTCTCCTTCAGGCAAAAACATCCTTTGTAAATGGAAATCAGATTATGTCATTTTCTTGTTTAAAACCCTGGGATCAGGATGAAATCCCGACTGCTGACCTCTATCCATCTCTGCCCCCCAATCTTCCCTCTCTCCCTCTTGCCCACCCAACCTCATCCTGTTTCCAAAACACATCACACTGGGTCCTGCTTTCGGAACACAACCCCAGAAGTTCTTTCTGCCTTAGATCCTTTCCCACAGCCCCATACTCCTGAGCCCTGTCCTCCGTGCACAGTTCCCTCAGCATCCAGGTCTCACAAGTCTCCCTAGGTCCCCTTTCTAAAGTCCCCTTTAGCCAGAAAGCCCCATCCCATCAGCCAAGCAGTTGGCACTATCTGCATCTCTTCCTCACTCTTTGGGAATGCTGGCTCTTGGGGGTCAGGCCCTCTGCCACATTCACCATTGAATTTTTCTTTCTCCTTCTTATAAGGAGGAGCAGTAGCTCTCGGCCCTGTAGAAGGTCTCATTTTGTCACCACCTTCTGTAGCTGCTTTCTCACTCACACCTGAGGGGACTGCTGAATACAATCCCAGGTTCAGGGTGAGGCTGGTGGGGGTGTAGGAACCTCTTCCTTCAGGCCCTCACATGAGTTTTCTTTTCAACATCTTTGTGGGACAGGACCTTGCCTTGCACTGCCTGCCCTTGTTACCCCACTTTCCAACCTCAGGGCTTACTTTTCAGGTGGAGAACCAAGGCCAAGAAAAAAGAGGCACTGCCCACCTGATGCTCAGAAATGGCACCAACACTGACATTCCAGTTTAGGTCACTGAAATAACCATCTTGTGACCCTCCCCGGTCATCACTTATGGTTTTTCTGACTACTCATGCTCTCATCCCTGGCCTCCATTTTCAGGACCCATGTCTAGGCTCTGACATTATTTCAATGATGATGAAACTGAAGCTCAGAAGGGACCTGCTAAGGTCAACAAAAGTGAATGTCAGGGTCCCCCAGGACAGGGTTGATCCCAGAACAGCTTGCAGTCTTGAAATAGCCAGTCAATCCTGGCATTGTAATGGTGCCTGCTGGGGTGCAGTGGCAGGGTATGGTGCAGGGAGGCCTGCCCCCACCCACAGTGGGCTAGAGTTATAGAACTGAGGGATTCTTTGCAGGCTGAGGCAGAGGACTATTGCCAGTACACACTGAACAGGAGTGGAGGGAGGCCTGAGGCAAGGAGCATTCTTTAAGAGGCAGGCTTGGATAGGCAGAGGTGGCCTTAGGGAATTCAAGCAGAGAGGAGTCTAAGAAAACTCATGGGATAGACCTACCTGGGCCTGAAAGAGAATGGAATCAGAGCCAGGAGGCATGTGGTCAATCTAAGCAGTTTGAATTTCTAGGTGGTAGGAGCAATTGGCGAATTTTGATCATGGGCATGACTGACAAAGTAGGTCACATTGTATAAAATAGCCACCATTCAGTGATTTTTGACCCATGACAACATCATATGATTCAGTCTAATAGGAATTCTGGAATTAAAGGGTGGGTACAGAATTCATTCGTTCATTGTCATTCATTGATTCACTCATGCATTCACTCACTGTGGCTGGTGGCTACTGTTACAGCCTGTGTGGTCTTGGATTCATGAAGGAGGTGAGCCTTAGGCAAATTGGGAGAAAAGTATTCCAGGCAAAGGGAATGGCAGGAACAAAGGCCATGAGGCAGAAACATGTTTGAGGAACAGAGAGGAAGCTAGTTTAGCTGGAGAACAGCAAAAGAGAGAAAGAGGAAAGCTCAGAGGTCAGAGAAGGAGCCAGGAGCTAGACAATGCAATGTCTGTCACACCAAGTCAGGTTTTTGGATTTTCCTCCAGTGAATGGAGAGCAAGGGAGTGATAGGGATCTGGCTTTCAGATTTAGCAGCATTGCTCTGGTTCTGGGAACAGAATGAACTGTGTAGGGGCAAGGCTGGGAGTTCGGAGCCTGGTACAGTGTTCTAGACAGGAGGTGACCAGTGCTGTGGACTGAGTGTAGCCATGGAGATCACTTGGAAGTGAGCTACCAAGGTGAAGGGAAACTAACAACCTAAAGGACACTGAGGAAGGAGTTGCCTCTCTAAAGTGGTGGTGGTGGGAACAGAGAAGATTAGATCAAGATTGGACCCAACTCCTACAAGGCTGAGAAGTTACTTCCTTTCTGAGCCTTGGTTTCCTCAGGTGTGAGCAGGTATCCTGCTCAAGGACACCAAGAAGCAAGTCTCCAATTTAGGCTTTCCGGACTCTTCATCAGTGTTCTTGCTCCCATGGGTTGCCTTTTTGTGGGAGTGACCAGTTAATAAGGACTGCCTTGCAGGGGTGAGGGACCAGGAGTATGATATTTAACTTTGTTAGCTCTAGCCATCCAATCCACAGTGCAGAGAACTGGACACATCTACCTTTATTTTATTTTATTTTATTTTATTTTATTTTATTTTATTTATATATTTTATTGATTTTTTACAGAGAGGAAGGGAGAGGGATAGAAAGTTAAAAACATTGATGAGAGAGAAACATTGATCAGCTGCCTTGTGTACACCCCCCACTGGGGATGTGTCCACAAACAAGGTACATGCCCCTGATTGGAATCGAACCTAGGACCTTTCAGTCCTCAGTCTGACGCTCTATCTACTGAGCCAAACCAATTTCAGCACATCTGCCTTTAAAGAGACTTCCCAGAAGCTCCACCCTGTGTTTCTACTTCTATGTCATTGGCTTGAACTTAGTCATATGACATACCTTGCTGCAAGAAAAGCTGGGGAGTACAATCTTTTATTCAAAACAGATATAAAACCAGCTCAGGATCTGTGACTGAGGAGGAAGGGGAACATTGACATTGGAGTGGGCAGTAGCCCTGGCATAGGTTTTCCATCCCATGCTGAGACTTAAAGGCTCTCCTTTCACCACCTCCCCAAGTCTCCTCTCCAGTCCCCAGCTCTGTCTGTGTTTTTTGGCTCTGTTTCACATTCTGAGTATTCCAGATTTTGCTTCATAGATCTGAGGACGGCAGTGGGCAAAGCTGTCCACTGACAGGCCCTCTTACAGACCTCTGTGACCTGCATTTCAACCCCATTTGGGCTATGGGACAGCCAAATAAATACTGGCATCAAAACCCAGTTCAGGCCACTTCAAGAGAAGAGGGGATTCAAGTTGGTCTGTGTAACTGGAAAGTCTGGATGGTGCTGACTTTCAGAATGGCTTGGACCAAAGGTGGTGTTGGCTTCTACCAACCTCAGAACCCCCCGTATTGGGACAGCATCACAACTTCTAAGTTCAAGTCCTGCAGAAAGGCCGTAGCTTTCTCTGGCAGTACCTGCAGAGGTCCTATGGTTCACTCAGATTGGATCAGCTAATAGGGCTTGACTTTTGGTTGTGAGTTCATCCACACCTATCACAGTGCTTTTGTTGGTCAGGCCTGGGAGCCCCACCCAGACCATTTTTTCCTGGGAGGGACTTCTCATGAGTCTGTTAGTCACCTCTGGCTGCTATAACAAAGTACCACAGGCTGGTCTGCTTAAACACAGACATTCATTTTCTCCCATTTCTGGAGGCTGGTTTCTTCTGAGGCCTCTCTCCTTCTTACTGTGTCCTCAGAAAGTCTTTTCTCTGTGTGCATGTCTCTGTATGTCCTAATCTCCTATTCTTATAAGGACATGAGTCAGTTTGGGTTAGAGCCACCCTCATTGTCTCATTTTAAGTTAATCATCTCTTTAAGGTCATACCTCCAGATATAGTCACTTCTAAATTACTGGGGGTTTTGAATTTGGGAAAGGACGCAATTGGTCCATAACAATGAGCAACCAGAGGGAAGCATGGTTTGTGCATTAGGGGAAAATATTATGGGTTTAG